TAGCGCTTCTAGTGTCGTCAAGAAATTGACATGTAAATTGAAATTTGCGCTCACACATTAGCTCCAGTATGATCATAATGGTTCGCAATTGCCATTCCAATTTAATAGGTGTCTCTTCTGTAAAAAGTTTGTCAATTTTTTGAGGATACAGACTCTCCATAGCCGCTGCTAATACCTCTACCGACGCAAATTTTCCTTCATGCTTAAGAATATATTTGAGAGCGTAAAGATTCTCTGGATATTCTATGTCCGTCAACAATTCCTTTATTTGCGCATCTGCTGAGCTATGTCCTTGTTTAATCAGCTTGTATACAAGTTTAGGGAAACCGCCTTGGTTTACAGTACTGCTCATCGTTGATATATAATTAGTGGAGGTTAAATTTTCGGTTTCCTATAATATAAATGTAATTGTTAACACTTTGTGATAGAGTACGTCTAATGTATGATAAGTGTTTTGTTCTATAACTTATGTGCCATTGAGAAGAGTAACCACTGTAGTCATTCACTTAAACAACGTTCTTGTGTCTCATATCACCTGCATTGTGTGGTGTGACAATGCAGGGAATACGACAAAAATTTACTGTGTTACTATTACTGTATTACAGAATGTAAATATTCGTACCTCTATCAATTTATTTATTCTAATACCTCATGCTTGTATTTCGCCACAAAGTCTTCACCATAACTTGTATTTCAAGCGCTTATAAATAAGGTATTTTGATACTGATTACTGTCAACCCTCTTTATAGTCACCCCCTCTATAAGCACATTATATAAAAACCAATTACCATTGAACTTATCGGAAAAACCCTCTATATAGTCACAACCTCTTTAGAAGCACATTTTCAACAAAAGTTGCATTGTTTCCGACAGCGTAACTATAGAGAGTGTTGACTGTACAACATTTTCTAGGGTGGAATCAGTTTATCGTAGCGCTCATCGGCTGTACAACAAAAAAGGTAATGAGATCATTCAATCACATTTGGTAGCACAATTCATATTCGCCAATCAGACAAAGTTTATTATGTGAATTGGTATATTCTTAAAAGGTGACTTTGACAACATACAGTAATACCTTCTCCATTAAGAATTTTCATCTTGTCTTTGAAGATATTTTACGGACAAGGATATGAATACAATTAAACCAATTAGCATTAGTCTCTGCGAATTCTAGCATTGCTGGTTGTTTAATGTACAATGAGCTTATCAACAGAAAACACTTCCCAATCAATCCATGTAAATCTATCACTAGTAGATCTGATTGGATTTTTATACCTTGTCGAATCAAGTGCGATAGGGTTAGTAAAAATACCCTTTCCGGAATAGTAACCAAATAATAAAGCACCCCCGCCAAAATTGGGCAAATCGTCTTGGACATCATAAATGGCGCGCCGTTCATCTTTAACAAAACTTATTATGTTTTTTTCGATGACGTCATCCTTATCCAGCGAAAATATAAAGCTTTTTCGAGTTGAAAGAAATCCACTCTTACTAGTACTCCATGATAACGGGTTATATCCACCAAGTATTTCCTCTGTTTCCTTTACCTTTCCTACAGAAATTGTCGGTCCTTTATCTGTACACATTTGCCGAAAATTTTTTACTTTATCAGTCATATGACCGTCTCTGCTTTCTCGATAAAGTAAAGTCAGTTTATTGGTAATAGTTTGCCTATTAGTTTCACGTTATTCAACTTTGCCTAATTGTGTTGATTCTGCGATTTTCTGTAGAATCCATGATGCCTGTTGCTTGCTAATAACAACTGAATCAACATCACCAGGTAGTTGTCCTTTTCTCAGTGGTGATATTTGCGTTTTCGGTCTATGGTTATCGGGCAGTCTTTTCCTCAGTGGTAACATTTGCGTTTTCGGTTTATAGTTATTTTGTAGATGATAACAAAGTAAATCAGATCGTAACTCTCTTGACAATAATTCAATGTAGGGAATTACCCTTTCACTGAGTTCTTCGGATGAAATATTAAAAAATCTTATGTGAGGCACACATTCTGCTATCAGTCTTTGACGGCATTAACATCATTAAATGGCCAATCAGTTGGATTATCTGAAAGTCCAGAAATTTGGTTAATACCCCATTGTACAACTGACAACCAAATATCACCTTCATCCATATGAAGCTCATCATTCTTGAGAAGACTGATAAAGGTCGCTTTTGGTAAATCCGCCATATTACTGGACTTGAGGACGATGTCTGGAGATGATAACATAAGCTGATAGCAATAAGCTCCAAGTTTCTGTAGCGAATCAGTAGACAACGCATAGTTATGGACTGTGAGAATGTTTCGTTTTATCCATTCCTTATGTTGTTTAATCAAATAATCTCCAATCGCAGTACAGAAAGTGCTTAATTAGCTCCTTCCAAAAGAGCAATCCATGATATATTCTCATATGATAAGAATGACACTTTTCCTGTGTAAATAAATCTACAAATGCGGATAGTAGTTGCGAGTGTTAATCAAGACGCAAGAATGCACTTTCACTTTATAAATTACCAACAACGCAACGATACAGTGTTTTACTACAGCCAAAGACACTTGCGAACACATCAAATTTACCTAAGCAAAATTTCAAAAATATCAGATGTCATGTCTTCGAACACCATAGCAGTTTGTTGAATTCCATTAGGGGCTTCTGTATTTCCGGTTAGCTTGTTTTCAAAATATGCGCTCCTTGTGCATAGGACCAAGGAATGAGCAAGAAATATCTTATTGCATGGCTTTCGGCCGACATGAATCGAGATATCGGTATATTTTCCACTTTCATAAAGCTTCTCATAATCCGTTGAAACACCAGAAAGTAATTCGATTACGTTACTCATATCAAACTTTAGCGAGAAGATTGATATAGGCAATAGAGATTTATACTATGTAATGTATACTATGTAACGCAAAACGTTAAGTTCGATTTTTGAGGCTGATCGCTTCGCTTTAGGATATTAACTTATAGACTTCGTCCTTTGTTGATATTAGGACACTAGTTATGTTGTTGAGGAGACTGAGTTTTGTAACTATTATGTATTTCATGGCAGTAAATACTATTTATATCTTTCGGGGAAGTTTTCTTGACTTTACCCACGCACCATTTTCCCCGTCGTTAGTTACACCCTCTCATCTTATTCGTAATAATCATTATGCATGTGTGCATTCGAGTAAAAAAATGTGTGAAAAAGAATAAAAGTAAACATATCCGACCGCTTTTTGCCCACGTTAACTGCCAAGGTATTGTCGAAAAAATTTTCTTTTCGACGTCCAATTCATTACTTTATTCTCTTAATAAATAACTGTAACAATTTGCAAATTGTTACGATTACGATATTGCAATATCGTAATCATTGAGTAATAGTGAAGACGATACTATTTAGTGTATTATCCATGTCGTAATATGTTTACGGTTTTATTGCATCATTATTTAGTTATTATGTAGTCATAATACATATATTTTTATGTCATATGTCGTCATAGTTATACAGATATCGTCGCGGGAATATGTATTATAAAAAAACATTATCTTACTCAATAAAACAATGACTTTTTAGCTGAACGTCTACTGACTTTGGAATTATTTCGAAGTCTTTTACAACTTGGTAACAGCGGACCCATTATTAATAGTAGACATCAGTGAAACACAAACAAGACTCACTTGACGACGTGCAAACCGACGATACAAACTGATAAGACGCACTTGACGGGCACATTTGAATATAAGACGCTCGCGTTCGAGATACATGTAATATACATACTTAAGACACACTCAAACTACATACTCACCTGAGACGCATACTTATTAAGACATACGATACCAATAGACGCACAGCAATTACCGCAGGCCTTGCTGGCATAGCCGTGCCACACAGAATAATAATAATAAAGGTAATGTTGCTCGAATTGCAGTAAAAATTCCTCCTATAAGAAAACATCTGAAGAAAACGGGATGACTTGAATGTTACAAGTACAAATATATTTGCCGCTCGGAAAATTGTGTGCAAGCCGCTAAACAGCAACACGTATTCAATAGTACGCTCCGCTCCAAACCGCGTGCTAGATTGCTGGGAGAAATAGAAGGGATGGGAGACTTTGACCAGGTCGCGTACTTTACTGAATTTCACTGGTGTGTGCTTAAATATAATCACAAGTATAATCATAACATAAACTGAATGCTTGGTTTCCGATATGATGAATACCTAGAGAAGATATAGAAACAATCGAGCATTTCCGTCTTGGTGGTCAAACTTTAAAAGCGATTAGAAGGAGGGCCTTGAAAAAAATATTGAATCATTAGAAAATTTATCACATAGACAAATGGATATCTACTATCTAAACAGCCCTTGCTTGATGTGATACAACAGCACGATGACTAACCATCCAACTTTTTTCCTTAATACGCTACGCAAGTACAAGTCGCCGTCATAACTACCCGTTTATCTACTTTGGATGCGAGAATCTATTTAATTAACAATGTATGGTATGGAACAATACATTACACAATCGAATTTATCAAACATATCAGCAATCATACCTGAAATATCTGATGTAAGTGTTCATACCAGATTCGATGTCATCGAAAGACGAAAGGCTAATTGGGAGATAAATAAAAAAATATTTGTCTTTGATGACGATTGTTGGGCAAAATCTTGAATATAGAAAGCTTAGACAGACATTAATCATGGCTTGTAATGCAACATTCGTCTTGGCAACCACCTAGAAGATAACAAGTCGTGTATAAACTCGAGAATCTGTCAGTTTACATTACATTTAATAATAATAACAACGTTTATTAAAAACAATTATTAGTAGTGTATTATACTAATACGCATATTGGAACGTGTGTTATAAACTTTTCGTCCGATCCAATAACAAAGTATTATCAGCTGTCACAGGATTTGTGTTACGAAAACTTATTATCCAATACTGTGGCTAATACGGCTCGGTTTTAAATCACGAACTGCCGATTTTTTTAGGCCCACTAACTTACTATAACTACTAATTAATTCGGCACCGACCTACCATCAGTTGATTTGACAGTGACTGGTAACAATATATGACTAAGTCTGTTGAGATCACCAATAATCTGAGTGACTGACACGAGCAGGTGCATTCAAGATCACGTTGAGGTCATCAATAATCTGCTACACCGACCTATCACGGTACGAGCAGCATCATGGTCACGTTGGTAGCATCTGTTGAGGTCATCAATGATCTGAGTGACTGCACACGTCTGTTGACATTGATCGATTTTAAC